TCTACTTATATTTATAATTTTATTCATTTATTATTATTAATTTATTATTTTGTATTTTATAGTATGCATGTTTACATTATTTTAATTTTATTTATGTATTTATTATTTTAATTATGTATATTTAGAATTTTTTTAAGTTTTATTTTATATATATTTAGTATGTTTATAATTTAATTTTATTAATCTGAGAACAGTCATAGGAAGTCCTCCTCTCTTCATTGCGCGTGTCTCATTCAGGGTCCGTGTATCGGGAACCAGCAGAGTTTGGCTCACAGCAGACTTTGGGACGCCGTCGTCGGATTTCTGCACGTCTTCGCCAACATGCAGATGAAGCTGTCACAGGTGCATTATTCAGTCACTGTCTGTGTATCCTGAGTTTCTTGCTTCTGTCTGTGTCGATCTGTAGTACTGCTGTGAGTGCTGTCAAAGGCCTGAGCTGTATCTGCAGTAGCGTCCGTGAACACTAGATGTCTCAGCTGCTGCTTCTGGAGTCCCATCACTGATGCTGAGATGAGATTGAGACCTTGAGCTGGTGTTGTTTGATGGTGCATCAGCAGATTAAAGATGATTTAGTAAATGAAAGCATCCAGACCATCACAGCGACTCTCTGATGCTCCATCACTCCCCTTCATCACGCTAATGAACGTCTCTCTTGATTCCTCACAGGACTCCAGTCAGATCGAGCTGCTGAAGGAGCTGATGGATCTGCAGAAGGACATGATAGTCATGATGCTGTCACTGCTGGAAGGTTCGGGTGCACAAACATTCATTTTGTCAGCTGTTTTTTTCATTTAGTCTTTATTATTTAGTATTTAGTCAACCTGTCAAGTTTTAGCTGACTAAAAGTCTGGGAATTTTAGTCTAGTTTTAGTCAATTAAAACTTAGGCACATTTTAGTCATGCTGCATAACAGTTAAACTGATAATCACACATATTTTGCCCAAATTTATAATTGCGATTGCTTATGATTGTTATCATCTGGCAACAAACTCAGTTTCAGCTGTAAAGCAGCTCTACAGAAGACAGTAGTGTCATTATTCAGATCAATTCGATTCAAGGTTGATTCAATCATGATTTTTTGTCATTTTTATTAGTTTATTTTTTATTTTTTAAATGTCTATAGTTTTTATTAATTCTATTTCCGTTTTAGTTATTTTAGTTTAACTAAATGAAAATGAGAAACATTGCCTTGGCAACTTTCTGAAATACATTTTTTTATTTTTTTATTTAATTTTTCAATTAGTGTTTATTTTATTTCAAATTAAAAAAATTTGTAAATTATTGCACTTTCACCAATAAGCACAAATCAAGAGATTGTCGACTCACACACATGCTTTATTTGACCTCACCTAGTTTCCTGATTTATTAGGTTATCAGAAATATAAACTCAGAAGCCAAAACAGTGACTCCTAATATTAATCCCAAAGTACATTCATGTTTTTCTATTAAAACAACATCTTTGTATTGTGGCACAGAGGTGCATAAGTGACAATTCATATCATCTTTGTCAAAAGGTCTTCAACAAATATTTTTCTCCATAGTTTCCGTTAACGAAATTAAAGAAATAGTTCACCCAGAAATGCCAATTCTGTCATCATTTACTTTTCCTCAAATTGTTTCAAACCTATATGAGTTTCTTTCTTGTGTTGAACACTAAAGAAGATATTTTGAAGAATGTTGGTAACCAAACAGTTGACGATAGCCATTGATTTCCATAGTATTTTTTTCCATACTATAGAAGTCAATGGGGACCAACAACCATTTGATAACCAACATTCTTCAAAATATCTTTTGTTCTCAACAGAAGAAATGAATTCAGGTTTGGAACAATTTGAGGCAGAGTAAATGATGACAGAATCTGCATTTCTGGGTGAACGGTCGTTACACAACGACACACATAAATTACAATGAATCCTGGATAAAACTCCAGTGTTCTCCTTCAGGAAACGTGGTGAACGGGACCATCGGCAAGCAGATGGTGGACACTCTGGTGGAGTCCTCCAGCAACGTGGAGATGATTCTCAAGTTCTTCGACATGTTCCTCAAGCTGAAAGATCTGACGACCTCGGAGAACTTCAAGGAGCACGACCCCGACCGTAAAGGCGTGATCTCCAAGAAGGAGTTCCAGAAGTCCATGGAGAACCAGAAGCAGTACTCTCAGTCCGAGATCGAGTTCCTGCTGTCCTGCGCCGAGGCCGACGAGAACGACATGTTCAACTACGAAGAGTTCGTCAAGCGCTTCCACGAACCCGCCAAGGACATCGGCTTCAATGTGGCGGTTCTGCTCACCAATCTGTCGGAGCACATGCCTCACGATTCCCGACTGTCCACCTTCCTGAACCTGGCTGAGAGCGTTGTGAACTACTTCGAGCCCTACCTGGGCCGCATCGAGATCATGGGCGGCGGCAAGAGAATTGAGAGGGTTTACTTCGAGATCAGCGAGTCCAGTCGAACGCAGTGGGAGAAACCGCAGGTCAAGACCAGTCGCATTTATTTCTACAATGCAGATTGATTCAAAGCAGCATCACGGTGATAAACAGGCAAAAGTGTTAATAAAAACAATGTTAATGTCAATTCAGTTCAATAACAGTGTCAAAGTCGCAAAATTCATCAATTATGAAACAAATTCAGTTCAGTTCAATAAGTGTCAGTCACAAAATTCATCAATTATTAAACAAATTCAATTCATTTCAATAAGTGTCAGTCACAAACTTCATAAATTATTAAACAAATTCAATTCAGTTCAATAAGTGTCAGTCACAAAATTAATCAATTATGAAACAAATTCAATTCATTTCAATAGTAGTGTTGATGTTGTAAAATTTTGAAACATTTAACTTCAGCTGTAATGCAGCTCTACAGAAGACAATAGTCATTATTCAGATCAATTCAGTTCAGTGTTGATTCAATTCTGTTGATTCGATTGATTAATTAATTATGATACAAGTTCAATTTAGTTCTGTTGATTCAATTTTGTTTAATAACTGTCAATTGTAAAATTCATCAGTTGAAACAATGAATTCAATTCAGCTGTGAAACAGCTCTACAGAAGACAATAGTGTCAATATTCAGATTAATTTATTTCATCATTGATTCAGTTCACTTCAAAAACTCAATGTAGTCAAGTCAAGTCAAGTCACCTTTATTTATATAACGCTTTTAACAATACAGATTGTGTCAAAGCAACTGAACAGCATTAATTAGGAAAATAGTGTGTCAATAATGCAAAATGACAATAGTAAACACTCATTTTTCAGTTAAAGGCAGTTCATCATTGAATTCAGTGATGTCATCATCCAGCTCAGTTCAGTTTAAATAGTATCTTTGCAATCATTTGCAATCAAGTCAACAATATCGCTGGAAATGAAGTGTCCCCAACTAAGCAAGCCAGAGGCGACAGCGGCAAGGAACCAAAACTCCATCGGTGACAGAATGGAGAAAAAACCTTGGGAGAAACCAGGCTCAGTCGGGGGGCCAGTTCTCCTCTGACCAGACAAAACCAGCAGTTCAATTTCAGGCTAGCAAAGTCACATTGTGCAGAGGAATCATCTAGTTCCTGTGGTCTTGTCCCGGTGGTCGTCTGAGACAAGGTCATTACAGGGGATCTGTATCTGGGGCTCATCTAGTTGTCCTGGTCTCCGCTGTATTTCAGGGCTGTGGAGGTCCTTTCTAGGTGCTGATCCACCATCTGGTCTGAATATGTACTGGATCCGGGTGACTGCAGTGACCATCTGATCTGGATACAGACTGGATCTGGTGGCAACGGTGACCTCGGAATAAGAGAGAAACAGACTAATATTAGCGTAGATGCCATTCTTCTAACAATGTAGCAAGTACATCGGGTGTTATGAAAAAAGTTCCCGGTTCCGGTTGACCTAATTAATGCAGCCTAAAAATCCTTTAACGGATTTGAATATTAGAAGCGTATTAGTGTGTTATGTGTAAGCCAGGTTAAAGAGATGGGTCTTTAATCTAGATTTAAACTGCAAGAGTGTGTCTGCCTCCCGAACAATGTTAGGTAGGTTATTCCAGAGTTTGGGCGCTAAATAGGAAAAGAGTTTGGCTCACAGCAGACTTTGGGACGCCGTCGTCGGATTTCTGCACGTCTTCGCCAACATGCAGATGAAGCTGTCACAGGTGCATTATTCAGTCACTGTCTGTGTATCCTGAGTTTCTTGCTTCTGTCTGTGTCGATCTGTAGTACTGCTGTGAGTGCTGTCAAAGGCCTGAGCTGTATCTGCAGTAGCGTCCGTGAACACTAGATGTCTCAGCTGCTGCTTCTGGAGTCCCATCACTGATGCTGAGATGAGATTGAGACCTTGAGCTGGTGTTGTTTGATGGTGCATCAGCAGATTAAAGATGATTTAGTAAATGAAAGCATCCAGACCATCACAGCGACTCTCTGATGCTCCATCACTCCCCTTCATCACGCTAATGAACGTCTCTCTTGATTCCTCACAGGACTCCAGTCAGATCGAGCTGCTGAAGGAGCTGATGGATCTGCAGAAGGACATGATAGTCATGATGCTGTCACTGCTGGAAGGTTCGGGTGCACAAACATTCATTTTGTCAGCTGTTTTTTTCATTTAGTCTTTATTATTTAGTATTTAGTCAACCTGTCAAGTTTTAGCTGACTAAAAGTCTGGGAATTTTAGTCTAGTTTTAGTCAATTAAAACTTAGGCACATTTTAGTCATGCTGCATAACAGTTAAACTGATAATCACACATATTTTGCCCAAATTTATAATTGCGATTGCTTATGATTGTTATCATCTGGCAACAAACTCAGTTTCAGCTGTAAAGCAGCTCTACAGAAGACAGTAGTGTCATTATTCAGATCAATTCGATTCAAGGTTGATTCAATCATGATTTTTTGTCATTTTTATTAGTTTATTTTTTATTTTTTAAATGTCTATAGTTTTTATTAATTCTATTTCCGTTTTAGTTATTTTAGTTTAACTAAATGAAAATGAGAAACATTGCCTTGGCAACTTTCTGAAATACATTTTTTTATTTTTTTATTTAATTTTTCAATTAGTGTTTATTTTATTTCAAATTAAAAAATTTTTGTAAATTATTGCACTTTCACCAATAAGCACAAATCAAGAGATTGTCGACTCACACACATGCTTTATTTGACCTCACCTAGTTTCCTGATTTATTAGGTTATCAGAAATATAAACTCAGAAGCCAAAACAGTGACTCCTAATATTAATCCCAAAGTACATTCATGTTTTTCTATTAAAACAACATCTTTGTATTGTGGCACAGAGGTGCATAAGTGACAATTCATATCATCTTTGTCAAAAGGTCTTCAACAAATATTTTTCTCCATAGTTTCCGTTAACGAAATTAAAGAAATAGTTCACCCAGAAATGCCAATTCTGTCATCATTTACTTTTCCTCAAATTGTTTCAAACCTATATGAGTTTCTTTCTTGTGTTGAACACTAAAGAAGATATTTTGAAGAATGTTGGTAACCAAACAGTTGACGATAGCCATTGATTTCCATAGTATTTTTTTCCATACTATAGAAGTCAATGGGGACCAACAACCATTTGATAACCAACATTCTTCAAAATATCTTTTGTTCTCAACAGAAGAAATGAATTCAGGTTTGGAACAATTTGAGGCAGAGTAAATGATGACAGAATCTGCATTTCTGGGTGAACGGTCGTTACACAACGACACACATAAATTACAATGAATCCTGGATAAAACTCCAGTGTTCTCCTTCAGGAAACGTGGTGAACGGGACCATCGGCAAGCAGATGGTGGACACTCTGGTGGAGTCCTCCAGCAACGTGGAGATGATTCTCAAGTTCTTCGACATGTTCCTCAAGCTGAAAGATCTGACGACCTCGGAGAACTTCAAGGAGCACGACCCCGACCGTAAAGGCGTGATCTCCAAGAAGGAGTTCCAGAAGTCCATGGAGAACCAGAAGCAGTACTCTCAGTCCGAGATCGAGTTCCTGCTGTCCTGCGCCGAGGCCGACGAGAACGACATGTTCAACTACGAAGAGTTCGTCAAGCGCTTCCACGAACCCGCCAAGGACATCGGCTTCAATGTGGCGGTTCTGCTCACCAATCTGTCGGAGCACATGCCTCACGATTCCCGACTGTCCACCTTCCTGAACCTGGCTGAGAGCGTTGTGAACTACTTCGAGCCCTACCTGGGCCGCATCGAGATCATGGGCGGCGGCAAGAGAATTGAGAGGGTTTACTTCGAGATCAGCGAGTCCAGTCGAACGCAGTGGGAGAAACCGCAGGTCAAGACCAGTCGCATTTATTTCTACAATGCAGATTGATTCAAAGCAGCATCACGGTGATAAACAGGCAAAAGTGTTAATAAAAACAATGTTAATGTCAATTCAGTTCAATAACAGTGTCAAAGTCGCAAAATTCATCAATTATGAAACAAATTCAGTTCAGTTCAATAAGTGTCAGTCACAAAATTCATCAATTATTAAACAAATTCAATTCATTTCAATAAGTGTCAGTCACAAACTTCATAAATTATTAAACAAATTCAATTCAGTTCAATAAGTGTCAGTCACAAAATTAATCAATTATGAAACAAATTCAATTCATTTCAATAGTAGTGTTGATGTTGTAAAATTTTGAAACATTTAACTTCAGCTGTAATGCAGCTCTACAGAAGACAATAGTCATTATTCAGATCAATTCAGTTCAGTGTTGATTCAATTCTGTTGATTCGATTGATTAATTAATTATGATACAAGTTCAATTTAGTTCTGTTGATTCAATTTTGTTTAATAACTGTCAATTGTAAAATTCATCAGTTGAAACAATGAATTCAATTCAGCTGTGAAACAGCTCTACAGAAGACAATAGTGTCAATATTCAGATTAATTTATTTCATCATTGATTCAGTTCACTTCAAAAACTCAATGTAGTCAAGTCAAGTCAAGTCACCTTTATTTATATAACGCTTTTAACAATACAGATTGTGTCAAAGCAACTGAACAGCATTAATTAGGAAAATAGTGTGTCAATAATGCAAAATGACAATAGTAAACACTCATTTTTCAGTTAAAGGCAGTTCATCATTGAATTCAGTGATGTCATCATCCAGCTCAGTTCAGTTTAAATAGTATCTAGATCTAGTATCTATCTATGTAGCAAGATTATGAAACAAGTTCAGTTCAGCTTTGATTCAATTCAGTTTTTAGTAACTGTCAGTTGCAAAATTATGAAACAAATACTTTTGTTCAATAACTGTTAATTTTGTAAAATTCATCAATTATGAAATGATAAATTCAATTCAGCTATAAAACGACTTAAAAGAAGACAGTATCATTATTCAGATCAATTTGATTCAAAGTTGGTTCAGTTCTGTTCAACAGTGTCAATGCTGCTAAATTAATCAGTTATGAAACATTCAGTTCTACATTTATTTAATTCAGTTCATTGTTGATTCAGTTCAGTTTAGTAACTGTCAAAGTTGCAAAAATCGTCAATTATGAAACATTCAATTCGGTTCAATAAATGTAAATGTTGCTAAATTGATCAATTATGAAATGAATTCAATTTCATTTCATAGCTCTACAGAAGACAATAGTGTAATTATTCAGATCAATTCAGTCCAGTGTTGATTCAGTTCACTTCAATAACTGTCAGTGTTGCAAAATTCATCATGGAACAAATTCTGTTCCATTCAATAACAATGTCAATGTTGTAAAATTCATCAGTTGTGAAGTTCAGTTCAATGTTTATTCATTTCACCCCAATAACTGACACTGTTGCAGAATTAATTATGAAACAAGTTCAGTTCAAAGTTGATTCAGTTCAATTCAATAACTGTCAATGTTGCAAAATTCATTAATGAAAAAAGTTCAATTCAGCATTGATTGAATTAAATTTTTAGAATGTCAAAGTTGCAAAATTCATCAGTCATAAAAAAACACATTCTATTCAGTTCAGTAACTGTCAATGTTGAAAAGGAAAAAAATTATATTATGAAACAATTAAATTCAGCTATAAAACAACTACAGAAGACAATAGTCATTATTCAGATCAATGTAGATTGATCAAATGATTCAGTTCAGTTCAATGTTGATTCAATTCTGTTCGATAACAGTGTCAATGTTGCAAAAGTCATCAATTATGAAGTTCAATTCAGTTCATTGTTGATTCAGTTCAATGTTGATTCTGTTCACTTAACTGTCAATGTTGAAAAAAATCATCAATTATGAAACAAGTTCAATTCAGCTATAAAGCAACTCTACAAAAGACAATAGTCATTATTCAGATCAATGCAGATTGATCAAATGATTCAGTTCAGTTCAATGTTGATTCAGTTCAGTTCAATGTTGATTCAATTCTGTTCGATAACAGTGTCAATGTTGCAAAAGTCATCAATTATGAAGTTCAATTCATTTCATAGTTAATTCAGTTCAATGTTGATTCCATTCACTTAAATAACTGTCAATGTTGCAAAAGTAATTAATTATGAAACAAGTTCAGTGTTGATATAGTTCAATAACTGTCAATGTTGCAAAATTCTTTCATTATGAAAAATATAAAACAACTCTACAGAAGACAATAGTTTCATTATTCAGATCAATTGGGTTCAGTGTTCATTCAATTCTGTTCAATAACAGTGTCAGTGTTGCATAATTCATCAGTTATGAACAGTGTTGGGGGTAACGCATTACAAGTAACATGAGTTACATAATCAGATTACTTTTTTCAAGTAACTAGTAAAGTAACGCATTACTTTTTAATTTACAAGAGAATATCTGAGTTACTTTTTCAAGTAAGTAATGCAAGTTACGAGTTCAATTCAGTTTATTGTTGATTCAGTTCAGTTCAATATCTGTCAATGTTGCAAAATTCATCAATTATAAAACCAAGTTCAATTTCAGCTGTAAAGCAGCTCTACAATAGAGTCATTATTCAGATCAATTTAGTTGAAGTTCTATTCTCATCTGATAGTGTCAGTGCATTAAATTAATAATATTATAGAATATTGTCATTTAATCCGCAGGTCAAAGAGTCCAAGCGGCAGTTTATCTTCGATGTCGTAAACAAGGGTGGAGAATCCGAGAAGATGGAGCTGTTCGTGAACTTCTGCGAGGACACCATCTTCGAGATGCAGCTGGCGTCTCTGATCTCCGAGCCGGACGCTGCTGAGAGACAAGAGGAGGATGATGATGAAGATGATGCTCGGAGCGTGGATCTAGACGAGGACGATGAAGATAGCGCACAGGAGTCTTCCTCAGCGTTCGCTCTGGCCTGCGTCTCCATGAGGAAGAGTCTCTCCAACCTGCGGCAGCTGCTGACCTTCAGGAGCATGAGGAGACAGTACCGCAAGCTGAGGAAGATGAGCATCCGGGAGATGATCCGAGGATTCTTCTTCTTCTTCTGGATGATCTTCACTGGCATGTTCCGCTTCCTCTACAGCCTCGTCTGGGGCTTCTTCCACATCCTGTGGTCCACGCTGTTCGGCGGCGGTCTCGTGGAAGGAGCCAAGAACATGAAGGTGACGGACATTCTGGGGAACATGCCGGATCCCACGCAGTTCGGGATCCACGGAGACGTTCTGGAGCTGGAGAAGCTGGAGTACTGCGACGTGTCGTCGGTGGCGGAGCTCGGGCGCATGGCGGCGGGAGATCAGGCGGAGATGGACCTGATGACGGAGCTGATGTACATGCAGCCCAGGAGGGAAGGAGGCAAGCATGGCATGGAGCCGGGGCTGGGAGACGTGTCCGAGGTGATCGGAGTGGACGCTCCGTCTTTAGCCAGCGCCGTCCATCAGAAGAAAGCTCAGGTGTGTGTTCACAGCCTCAGACTCTGAAAGAAGTCTCTTCTTCTCACTAAGGCTGCACTTATTTAATCAAAAATACAGTAAAAATAGTGATATATTATTATAATTTAAAGGGGTCATATGATGCTTTTTTAAAGATCATTATTCACAGCGTGGAGGACGGAGAGAAGAAAGACCAGGACAAGGGCAAAGAGGAGAGCATGTCAGACGAGAAGAAGCCGCTGAAGAAGAGACGCGGTCAGAGGAAGGAGCAGGCCGAGGCCTTCATGGCGGCGTTTTTAGCCGGTCTGGACGTCCATCAGACCAAAACCCTGGTGAGGAACGTCAAAGATCCTTACTTTATATATCCTTACATAAAAACTCACGAGTAATTCCACACAGTTCTCATGAAGAGAGGCTCAAATGTATTTGAAGAGTGTTTTGTCTGAACACAGTAGTGCTTCAGAAAGTCTGGATGAGGAGCTTCAGTCACCGAGGGTTTTTGCAGGTTCTCGTTCACCTTCCTGACGTGTGACTCGTGTAAATGACGTGTTTTTCTGTTCGTCACTCGAACACTAAAAATAAGTCTGTGTTTTCAGAATTATCTGGCCAGAAACTTCTACAACCTGCGATTCCTGGCTCTGTTTGTGGCGTTCGCCATCAACTTCATCCTGCTCTTCTACAAGGTGAGCAGAGCTTTGATGAACCTTAAAAACCTCTTTATTTTCATCATTATTTTCCTCCCTTTTGTCTGATGTTTTTTTTATTGTTTTTTCCCCACCCTGTATGTATCAAAACATAAATAATAAATAAAAATCATGACCGCACATTTATTTATTTATTTGTTTGTTTATTCATTCATTCATCATTACCTCTAATTACCTAATTATTTATTTCACTGTATGTTTAAAAAAGCGTGTAAATCATAAATAAAAAAAACATGAGCTCATATTTATTTATTTATTTATTTATTTATGTCATCATATCCCTTTTGTCAGAATTTTTGTTTAATAATTTTTTTCTCTTCTACAAACCCTGTATGTATCAAAAAATTATACATATAAATAAAAACATGAGCTTACATGTATTTATGTATTTATTTATGATTAATTTTAATTAAATTAATTTGAATTATTTCTTTATCATTACTTCCCTTTTGTCTGAATTGTTATTTTTTGTTATTTTATTTTTTATTATTGTATAAAAACTTTTTTTATTACTATTATTATTATTATTTAGTAATTGTTTTTCTTTTTCCACCCTCTTCTAAATATTATGCATCATAAATTAAGAAAAAAAAGAGAACATGAGCCCACATTTAAATTAATTCATTTTATTTTATTTTTGTCATTGCCTTCCTTTTGTCTGAATTGTTATTTTTTATTATATTATGTATAAAAAAAATTATAAATAAAAACCATTGTTCACATTTTTATTTATATATTTATCTCCCTTTTATGTTTTTTTTAAATTATTATTATTATTTAGTATTTTTTTCTCTTCCCACCCTATATGTATCAAAAAATTATAAATCATGAATTAAAAAAAAAAAAACATAAGATCACATTTGTTTATTTGATTTGATTGGAGTTTTTTATTATTATTATTATTATTATTATTATTATTATTTAGTAATTGTTTTTATTTTTCCACCCTCTTTTAAATATTATAAATTAAGAAAAAAAAATAACATGAGCCCACATTTTAATTAATTCATTTTAGTCATTTCCTCCATTTTTTTTTTTTAAGTACATTTTTTTCTTTCCCTCTGCTGTATATATCATAAAACAAACATGTGCTCCTGTCTATCACTGTGTGTGTGTGTGTATGTGTGTGTGTGTGTGTGTGTGAGAGAGAGAGAGAGCGAGTGAGTGTGTGTGATGTGTGTAGAGAGAGCGAGTGTGTGTGTGTGTGAGAGAGAGAGAGAGAGTGTGTGTCTGTTGTTATTGTCACCAGGTTTTACTGCCACGTACACACACACACACACATACATTGACAGCAGGCCTGCTGTGTTTTCTGACGCTGTGTGTTTGTTTATTTTGTTCTCTGCAGACTTTCCCACGCACACAGATCTGCCATCAAGGTCATTGTGTGTGTGTGTGTGTGTGTGTGTGTGTGTGTGTGTGTGCAGGTGACCGGTGAGGATTCAGATGATCTGGACCCGTGGACGCGGCGAGAGGAAGAGGAGGAGGATGAAGGTGTGCTGGAGTATTTTGTTCTTCAGGAGAGCACGGGTTACATGGCTCCGACCCTGCGCTTCCTCGCCGTCATGCACACCGTCATCTCCTTCCTCTGTGTGCTGGGATATTACTATCTGAAGGTGCGGAATCACACATGAGAGATGTGTTTGTGAAGTGTTCATCAGCGCAGCTAAACCTCTCTTCTGCACCGCTCAGGTGCCGCTGGTGGTGTTCAAGCGTGAGAAGGAGATCGCGCGCAAGCTGGAGTTCGACGGGCTCTACATCACCGAGCAGCCGTCTGATGATGATATTAAAGGCCAGTGGGACAGACTCGTCATCAACACGCCGTGAGTCTGTCTTTGACATCAGCGCTGATTCATTCAGTGCATCCTTATGTTAAATTGATCCTCGTGACATTTGCATGGTCTGATGTCTATGAAGATTTAAACACGGTTTCTGTGTCTTACGCAGGTCTTTTCCAAACAACTACTGGGACAAATTTGTCAAACGGAAGGTAAGTGTGAAGGATTGAGAATATGAAGGTCACATTTCAAGAACATCGAACGATAAATAAATAAATCTGTCTCTCTCTACATAAGTAAACTTGTATTATTATTATGCATAAAGAAAAAGAAGCCTACAGTATTTTAGTACTATTAAGATTTTTATGCACGATGCCATTATTTTTATAACAATTCTGCATATATGTTGCATAAAGAAAAAGAAGTGTACAGTATTTTAAGGTTTTTTATTGATGAGGTTGTGTTTGTGCTGCAGGTTATTAATAAGTACGGAGATCTATACGGAGCCGAGCGGATCGCGGAGCTGCTGGGTTTGGATAAAAGTGCTTTAGACTTCAATCCCACCGAAGAGACGGTCATTAAAGACGCCTCGCTGCTGTCCTGGTCAGGAACCACATCACTCACTCATTAGGAAGCATTCAGATGATGCATGTTTGAGTGATAATATATTTTTTTTTATTATATTTTTTTACAATAAACTAATTTATATTTATTATAGAAATTTCCATGACAAAGTTATGTTATGTTATGTTATTTTAAGTCCCACTTTTAAAAATTTCCATAGTTTCTCAATAAAAAGGACATTTTTTTGAGTTGATTGAATTAAAATAATTAATACATATTTAAGCTTTTACGTCTTATTTTAAATCATTTTAAGCCACTTGGAGGTTTGCTGAGCCCCAGGACCTGATTGAGAACCACTGTAGAAGTCGTTTGATTGTAGCTGTTCATTCATCTTCTCTCAGACCTGTAAGAGTGACTCTGACTGTTCTTCAGGTTGAGCTCCATTGACACCAAGTATCACGTGTGGAAGATGGGCGTCGTGTTCACTGATAACGTGAGTGTGATTACTGTTTCACGAGAATGCAGGAATAGTTCAGCTGAAAATGAAATTTTTTTTGAAAATTTGCTCATCCTCAGATCATCCGAGATTAGGATAGTTTGTTTCTTCATCAGGTTTGGAGAAATGTAGCATTGCATCGGTGTCTCACTGCAAGTGAATGGGTGCCGTCAGAATGAGAGTCCAAACAGCTGATAAAAACATCACAATAATCCACAAGTAATCCACTTACATAATCTGTCTTATTATCAAATCTGCTGTTCGTTCTCAATCATAATCATAGCAGACCGCCGCTTCTCAGTCTTTTTGACTCCAGACCTCTTCATAGAGACTATAACCAGCAGTCAGGATGACAAAGCTGCTTTATTTACTGAAACTTGGACTGTTAATAGATTAAAATAATTATATGCATAATTATGTGATTCCAGAAGTTTCATCATGATTACTGGATTACAAAATATATATATATATACAGTATATATATATATATAAGATCATCCGAGATTAGGATAGTTTGTTTCTTCATCAGGTTTGGAGAAATGTAGCATTGCATCGGTGTCTCACTGCAAGTGAATGGGTGCCGTCAGAATGAGAGTCCAAACAGCTGATAAAAACATCACAATAATCCACAAGTAATCCACAGCACTCCAGTCCATCAGTTAACATCTGGAGAAGACAAAAGCTGAAACTAATCTGTTTTGGACTGTTTAAACGGTGCTTGATCTGTGCAGATTTCTCTCCTGATTCAGACCAGAGCACTGTTTCACTGGAGGAAGAGATATTATGGATTATGAACTCGTATTTTTGTTAAAAGCGTCTTAATGCTGGATTTGTTTCAGCTGCTTTTGTCTTCTCCAGATTTTAACTGATGGACTGGAGTGCTGTGGATTATTGTGATGTTTTATGACTCTCATTCTGATGGCACCCATTCACTGCAGAGCATCCATTGCTGAGCATTTTCGGACGCCCTACTCCTTTAATGAGATCATGATTGCTGATGTGGCATCAGTTTCTTCTTGTTCTGTCGTTGCAGTCGTTCCTGTATCTGGTCTGGTACACCACCATGTCCATTCTGGGACATTATAATAATTTCTTCTTCGCCGCTCATCTGCTGGACATCGCCATGGGCTTCAAAACACTGAGGACCATCCTGTCCTCCGTCACACACAACGGCAAACAGGTTTGACTCCAAACGTTGTGGCTCTGGGGTTGGTTTTTCTTCTTTATTTTGATCTTTTGAACCGTATTCATGTTAAACTGTGTGTGTGTGTGTGTGTTTGTGTCTCAGCTGGTGCTGACAGTCGGGCTGCTCGCTGTGGTGGTGTATCTCTACACCGTCGTAGCGTTCAACTTCTTCCGCAAGTTCTACAACAAGAGCGCAGACGAGGATGAGCCCGATATGAAGTGTGATGACATGATGACGGTGAGTGATGGATTTACGCCATATAGTTAGGGCTGTTAAAATGATTAAGGCATTTAACGCAGCCGCCCGTCCAGACCTGTCCGTCATCTTCCACTGATGCAGTGTCTGATGATCATGATGCAGGACGACTGACTGCGAGTGGAGTCTATTAGAATGCAGTGATATGAGCCTAAAATTCAAGATATGAGGCAAAAAATAAATCACCCTCTTATATTTATATCATATGATATAGTTCAGAAATATCACACCAGCAAGAGCGCTGTTTCTCCCCAATATCTGCACCTTTGATTTATACAACAGTTCAATAATCAAGAAGTTCATATTGTGTTAATTCTCAAACTTCAATGTGGTCTATTTTGCTCAGTTTCACAAATGAAAATAGTTGCATTTAAAGTCACAGCAGAACTGATGAGTCTGATCAACACACGGCGATGATTCGTTACAAAATGAATCCACGATTTTGAACAAATCAAGTGAGTCAATGATTCAGTGACTCGTTCATAAAGGCAGTCACTTGATTCATTTCTGAATGAATCAGCCTTTTTAACGATTCAAGTGAGTCTATGATTTAGTGACTCATTCATAAAGACAGTCACTTGATTCATTTCTGAATGAATCAGCCATTTGAACGAATAGGTTGAATGAAAGATTCAATGACTCCCTCATTAAGACAGTGACTTGCTGCCACCTACTGGCACTTTTTGTAACGTCTATTCAATGCTTTTCTCATTTAAGACAATAATGACTTTAAATGATCTTTTGAGGGGAATTTCTCAGACCAAATTGATGTGCAATTGACATCATATAATTAATTATATTTAAAAATCTTAATTACTTGACAGCCCTACGTATAATAGAATCACAGAGAGACTGTGAGTGTGTGTTTGTTCACTCGTGTGTGTGTGTGTGTGTGTGTCAGTGTTATCTGTTCCACATGTACGTGGGTGTCCGAGCTGGCGGCGGGATCGGTGACGAGATCGAGGACCCTGCGGGCGACCCGTACGAGCTCTACCGGATCCTGTTCGACATCACCTTCTTCTTCTTCGTCATTGTGATCCTGCTGGCCATCATACAAGGTACCGCAGGATATATGTGTGTCCGTTTATTTACTGGGCTTTAATGCGTGTCATGCAGGGTGATTATAGTTCACTAAAGCTAAAATTAAAACCATTAAAAAAGATTTTCATTACTTCTCAAAAAAAAAGTTTAATTTGAAGTACTAAAATAACTCAAATTAAAACTGAAATAAAATGAATGAAAACTATGATGGGTCCCAGTGATGTGGTGTTAAAGGAGAAGAGGAGCGGTCCAAGAACTGAACCCTGAGGAACCCCAGTGACCAGTTGGTGTTATTTGGATACCTTCCCTCTCTAAGCCACCCTGAAAGACCTACCTGTGAGATAGGATTCAAACCAGCGAAGTGGAAACCCTGTGATGCCCAGTGATGAGAGGGCAGACAGGAGGATCTGATGATTCACAGTGTCAAAAGCAGCAGATAGATCCAGCAGAATAAGAACAGATGAGTGACTGACAGTAGCGCAGTCTCAGTTGAATGGCCGCTTCTGAAACCTGATTGGTTGACGTCCAGCTGGTTATTCTGTGAAAGAAATAATGATACCTGGTCGAAAACAACTACTTCAATTGTTTTCACTATGAAAATAAAAATATATATAAATGCGTTGGGAAATGCCTGTGTTGATGATGTGTGTGAGTGCTGGTGGTCTTTCAGGGTGGCCTTTCAGGGTGGCTTGGGGAAGGGGGTATCCAAAGCACATCAACTGGTCACTGGGGTTCCTCAGGGTTCAGTTCTTGGACCGCTCCTCTTCTCCTTTTACACCACATCACTGCGACCCATCATAGTTTTCATTCATTTTATTTCAGTTTTAATTTTAGTGTAGGAGAGATTGCTTGGAGAAGGTGTGAGGGGATTGGGTCTAGAGGGCAGGTTGTAGGATGGCTGGAGAGGAGAAGTTTCGATACTTCTGCCTCAGTGAGGGGACAGAGGAGGAGATGGGCGTTTTAGTGTTGGATGTGGTTAGTTTGAGTTCCTGTGTGCGTGGAGCTGAGAACTGACTGCTGGTGGTTTTAGTTTTGTCTCTGAAGAATGCAGCAAAATCATCAGCTGTTAAAGAGGTGGTGGAGGGGGACAGAGTAGAGAATTGAATGTTTTGAAAAGATTGCGTGTGTTTGAAGCGCTGTTGATCTTGTCGTGGAAATATGAAGATTTGGCAGCATGGACTTCAGCAGAGAAAGATGAAAGCAGAGACTGATACATACTCAGGTCTGATGGATCTTTTGATTTGTGCCATTTTCTCTCTGCTGCCCTGAGTTTGGTCCGATACTCACAAAGAACATCGGATAACCAGGGGTTAGAAGGGGTAGCCCGTTCTGGCCTGGAGGAGAGAGGTTATTGATTCCAAATCATCAGTTCTTATTCTGCTGGATCTATCTGCTGCTTTTGACACTGTGAATCATCAGATCCTCCTGTCTGCCCTCTCATCACTGGGCATCACAGGGTTTCCACTTCGCTGGTTTGAATCCTATCTCACAGGTAGGTCTTTCAGGGTGGCTTAGAGAGGGAAGGTATCCAAATAACACCAACTGGTCACTGGGGTTCCTCAGGGTTCAGTTCTTGGACCGCTCCTCTTCTCCTTTTACACCACATCACTGGGACCCATCATAGTTTTCATTCATTTTATTTCAGTTTTAATTTTAGTGTAGGAGAGATTGCTTGGAGAAGGTGTGAGGGGATTGGTTCCAGAGGGCATGTTGTAGGATGGCTGGAGAGGAGAAGTTTTGATACTTCTGCCTCAGACAGAAGGAGGAGAGGGGAGTTTTAGCATTGGATGCGGTTGGTTTGAGTTCCTGTGTGTGTGGAGCTAAGAACTGACAACTGATAGTTTTAGTTTTGTCTGTGAAGAATGCAGCAAAATCATCAGCTGTTAAAGAGGTGGTGGAGGGGGACAGAGTAGAGAATTGAATGTTTTGAAAAGATTGCGTGTGTTTGAAGCGCTGTTGATCTTGTCGTGGAAATATGAAGATTTGGCAGCATGGACTTCAGCAGAGAAAGATGAAAGCAGAGACTGATACATACTGAGGTCAGACGGATCTTTTGATTTGTGCCATTTTAAATATGTCTATATTTTTAGTTTTAGTTTATGTTAATACATGTTAAACAAAAAAAGAAATTTTGCCTTGGCAACTAGCTGAAATAAAATAAGTTTAAGATTTTTTTTATATATATTTAATTTGATTTCAGTTAATGTTTATTTTATTTCAGGTGACAAAATTTTTTTTTATTTTTGTTTTAGTTATATATATATATAGTTTTTTTTAAATTCATTTTTAGTTATTTTAGTACATTGTTAAACTAACTGAGAGATGTTGCCTTGGCAACTTGCTGAAATAAAATAAGTTTAAGATTTTTTAATTTTTTATTTTATTTTATTTCAGTTAATGTTTATTTTATTTCAGGTGACAAATTCTTTTTTTATTTATTTTTTAGTTATATATATATATATATAGAGAGAGAGAGAGAGAGAGAGTTATTTATTATTTTGTATTAATTTTTAGTTATTTTAGTACGTTGTTAAACTAAATGAGAGATGTTGCTTTGACAGCTAGCTGAAATAAAATAAGTTTAAGTTTTTATTTATTTATTTATTTTACCAAGTAACAAAAACAACAAACATTTTTATGGTTCTAGTTTTAGTTATCAATGATATCCCGGGTTTGAAATCAGTCCTACTCTAATGATGATCCTGATGTATAATTGGTCATATTGTAAGGTGTTTCATACAGTTTAATGAATCTTATCAGATTTTTTGTGTCTGTAAAGGCACTACACTGTTTTCCAGACGCTCAGTCTGGAGTGTTTGACGGATGAGCCGGTGTGATTTGTGTGCAGGTCTGATCATCGATGCGTTTGGAGAGCTGAGAGACCAGCAGGAGCAGGTCAAAGAGGACATGGAGGTACAGAGACTCACACATCCATCAGTCCGTCTGTGTTCAGACCAGTGCCGTCAGTCGCTCTCATGCTCTCTCTCTCTCCTCACAGACCAAATGCTTCATCTGTGGAATCGGGAACGACTATTTCGACACGACGCCACACGGCTTTGAGACTCACACGTTACAAGAGCACAACCTCGCCAACTACCTGTGAGTGTCGCCTCATGATACACCAGCAGTTATTACAGCTCATTTATATACTACTGTACTTCTGTCAGGACCACTATCGTCAATATAACTTAGCATACATTTTAGGTTGAGGGAATAGTTCTGTTCTGGGCAAACACTCCCTGCCCATCCACGCAGCCTAGCAGCTACGCTCCATCATTTATTAATAGTTTTAAATTTTTCTTTTTTTTTTGTTTACTTCTTTTAAGTGTTATTTTTTTTATTTCAGTTTGAGTTTGTCGTTTTAGTACTTCAATTTCAACTTAATTTCAGTAAATTTTCCGTTTTTATAAATTTAAGTTTTTCATCTAATATTTACTTTGTATTTTATTTCAACTTTATTTCAATTACCGAAAATAATTTGTAATAGTTTTAGTGCTGATGTCTGTTGATTTTTCAGATTTTTCTTGATGTACCTGATCAACAAGGATGAAACCGAGCACACTGGTCAGGTGCGTTCTGAGAAGATGATCATATATTATTGTTAGTGCTGTCAAACGATTAATCGCATCCAAAATAAAAGTTTTTGTTTACATAATATATGTGTGTGTACTGTGTATATGTATTATGTATATATAAATACACACACATAGAGTATATATATTTTAAATATTTACATGTATGTACATTTATATATTTATATTCTTATATTTTATATTATACATAAATATATATTATTGTATGAAATCTTTCTGTTGTTGATGTGCTTGAGATGTGCGTTCAGTGTCTGTGGATGATGTATCTGAAGCAGTCATTTTCATAAAGTGTTTTATTTTTTAAAACAAATAAGTTTTATATAAAAAATTATTAGTGTTTGATTTTGTTTATATTTTAAAATAATTTAAATGTTTAAAATAATTACTTATAATTTAGCATTTTATGACTTTATTTATTTATTTATGATTTAATTTATTTGTGATCCGACTGGTTTTATTTCAAAAATATTTATTTTGATTGTTTTTCTGAAATTATTTTAATGTAAAAAAAAATTAATTATGATTTAATAATTTGCGTTTTAATTTTAGTATTTTTAGAAATATTTAAATTTTACATTTTATGATTTAATTTGTTTTTGTTTTATTTTTATTTTTTAGAAATTATTTCAATTTAAAAATGTTATGATTTAATTCATTTTTACTAAGTGTTTGGCATTTTATGATTTAATTAATTTATTTATTTTGATTGTTTTTCAGCAATTATTTTAATTCTACATTTTTTATGATTTAATCATTTGCGTTTTATTTTTATTATTTTTAGAAATATATTTTAATTTTACATTTTATTATTTAATTTGTTTTTGTTTTATTTGTATTGTTTTTTTATTATTTTAATTTAAAATTTTTATGATTTAATACATTTTGTAAATAACTTATTTGATTGGTTTTATTTTAGAAATATTTTAATTTTGCATTTTATGATTTAATTGATTTTGATGAAGTGTTTAATGCACTCCTGATGGAAGCAGGTGATTGTTGCATGACGTGTGTGTGTGTGTGTGTTTGTGTGTCTCTGTGTGTGTGTGTGTGTGTGCTGGGATTTCTTCCCGGCTGGAGACTGTTTCCGTAAGCAGAATGAAGACCAGCTGGGCTGAAGCGAGCCACGTTTCCTCCGGATCCAATCCAGTGCCAATCCAGTGGAGACTCTCTCCTCTCTCTCTCTCTCTCTCTCTCTCTCTCTCTCTCCGTCTGCTTTGGTTTCAAACCTTTCTTTTCCTTTTCAGTCCCTCAACAAAAGACAGAACAGCTCGACACGTTGCCTTCTTTGAGCCCAGAACCATTGCACAAGGTTTTTTCGTGTTTCTTGAGAAACTCTGGGGTGATGCACAAGCGTTTGGACAGCATGATGCCAAAAGCACGCGTGTTTGTGCGTGTGTTCACACTCCCTCGGATCCCCTGCCTGCTTGCCCGTAGAGAACTCAAACCTTCGTCAAGTGCCTTACCTCCATCACATCTGAGCTATGCAACAGCTGCGTTCCCTCCCGATGTCGTGGAGGTCTGTCCGTGTTCAGTCTCCTGGTTTCAGATGGAAATGCTCTCGTTTGGCCGTTCGTATGTCGTAGCTTTGCTGAATTGTGCTTTTGTTTTGAAGGACAAATAAAGATTGATGCAATAAATCTCTTCTGTCAAAGCAGTCGCTCATTTGACATCTTTACACACACGCTTTGAGTCGTTTGTTTATTAGAAAATCCTTCACCTGACCAGCGGCGTCTTGCATTTACAGGTAAACTCAAACTCAAACTCTTGTGATGTTGTGCAGGTCGACTGTGATGTCGAACACGGATCCTCGCAGCAGAGATTCACAAACTTCTGTCAGCTGAAACCCTTTGAGATTTTGAGTTTCAATAATTTAGCATCACATTCACATGTTTACGGTTCTCTGATGTCAGTTAATGGACGCATTACAGTACATGCAGGTAAACAAATAGAATATTTATTTTTCATTAAGTGATTTATTTTATATATATGTATATGACTTTTTATTAATTTTGTTTTCATTGTTTTAATTTAAAATTTTTAATAATTTATTTTTAGTGTTTTTATTTCGATTAGTTTGATTTAAAAAATATTTGTTTTAATCTTACATTTATGAATTAATTAATTTTAAGTTTTATTTTGATTGTTTTTCAGAAATTGTAGTAAGATTACATTTTTATTATATACTTTATTTGGATTGTTTTTAGTGTTAGTGTTTTTTATTGTTTTTATTTAAAAATATTTATTTTAATTTTACATTTTTATAAATTAATTTTTAGTGTGTTTTATTTTGATTGTTTTTGGTGTTTGTTTTTTATTGTTTTTATTTAAAAATATTTATTTTAATTTTACATTTTTATAAATTAATTTTTAGTGTGTTTTATTTTGATTGTTTTTATATAAAAATGTTTTTTATTTTAAATTTTTATGATAAAATTTTTATTATATACTTTATTTTGATTGTTTTTAGTGTTTGTTTTTTATTGTTTTTATTTAAAAATATTTATTTTAATTTTACATTTTTTATAAATTAATTTTTAGTAAGTGTTTTATTTTGATTTTTATATAAAAAATAATTTTAATTTTACATTATGATTGAATTTTTATTATATACTTAATTTTGATTGTTTTTATTTTAAAATTGTATATTTTATGATTTAATTTTCAGTAAGGGTTTCACTTTTTCTTTTTTTTCTTTTTTGACATTTTTATAATATTTCCATCATTTCTGGCATGTCATCATCTCATGAACCACTGCAGTGTCCAGGTGAGGAGTCAGCAGTGTGTGGATCTGATGCTGATGATGTTCTGGTGTTTGTCCTGTAGCTCTGCTGTGTTCAGTGATGCTCCATCACGCTGTAATAATCCGTGTTCACACACACACACACACACACACACACTCTCACTTCTGGCTTTTTGTGACCTTTAGTGTGACTGCAGATGACAACACGATCATCATCATCGACACAGAGCAGAGGCTTGAGGACAGACAGACAGATGTGCCCAACAGAAACATGAAGGACTGTCATTTTTATGATTTAATTCCTTTTTAGTAAGTGTTTTATTTTCATGTTTAAAAAAAAATTTACATTTACATTCATGATTTAATGCATTTTTAGTAATTGTTCTATATGATCAGTTTTTTTTTTTAATTATTGTAATTTTACATTTCTATGATTTATTTAATTTTGTTTTATTTTGATTTAAAATATTTTAATTTTACATTTTTTATTTAATTTTGCAGGCGTTTATTTGCTTTTATTTTAGAAGCTGTTTGTTTTAATTTGACATTTTATTTAATTTTGAGCGTTTTATTTTGATTTAAAAATATTTATTTTAATTTTACATTTTAATGATTTAATTCTAGTGCTATCAAATCGATTGATCGTGATAAGTGTATATAAATACACACAAATACATGTATATATTTAAGAAATATATGCAATATATATTCATATTTATGTATAATATAAATCATATAAATATAAATATCACGATTAATCGATTTGACAGCACTATTTAATTCACTTTTGTACGTTTTATTTGCTAGGTTTTTTTAGAAACTATTTTAAGTTTGCATTTTCATGATTTTATTCATTTTTGGTCATTTTATTTTGACTAAATATTTTAATTTTAAATTTTTTTGTGATTTGATTCGTTTTTAGACAGACAGACTATAGAATATAAGAATATAATTAGTAGTAGTATTTTAAATGAATGTGTATATTTAATAATTATTTATTAATTCATTCAGTGTGGTACCCAGAGTTTTTATCACTGAAATCATTTTTGAAGCTCATTCTAGGGAGCATGAAATAAATGAATAAAGAAATCAATAAAAATGGTCTGTTTTCCCTAAAAAATATATATATTTTTTTTTTTTAAATGCATAATGTTTCTGCTAGGGGTCAGTTTAGTCAGCAGTACGTCAGCATGCAGGTTGTATATGTAGATGTTGTCCAGCACAGATCAGCTGCTGCAGTGTTTATCTGTGCTGTAATAAATCTAGATCTGCAGCCGTCAGACGCAGTAGTTCGCTGAGGGGGCTTCAGACACAGACAGACGGCTCTAGTGTCTCCAGAGTCTCATCGACCGCTGCTTCTTAAAGGTCTCTCATCACACGAGGCTAAACTGACTAGTTTGCTAATAACAGAATGTCACATTGGGCTTAATTGGAGCGTCAGCTGCTGCTGAGAGGAGAGAGACAAACACAGTCAACAGACTCCTCAGAAGAGAAGAGAAAACACTTCCGCTGCATTACAGTATTTTGGTGTAAATTCATCTTTTGTTTAGAATCCAGTCCAGTGTGACGGATGAATCATGGACAGGTTGTGTGACGCCCTCGTCCTCAAAAACATGAACAAAAGAAAGCATGACTCAGACGACATTAAATACGGTTCATATGCAGTCAGGATGAATATGATCTGAGCTGAACTAAACCGGTGTTTACTTTTCAGGGTAATTTTTGTGTTTTTTTGTTGTTGTTTGTTTTAGTTTAAGACATTGCATGTGCTTTTGTCATTATTATTTATTCATTAGTAATTAAGTATAATTAATAAAATGATAACTTATAATTAAATTATAATTACAAGTAAAATATAAGAAATACAAGTAAAAAAAAAAAAAAAAATTAGCTTTTATTTTATTTTAATTAAAATTTTAGTTTTTCAGTTTAAGCGAATTTCAATTATTTGCGAGGCAACATTCTATTATTATTATTATTAATTTCGTTTGTTTGTTTTTCATGGTAATTTTAGTTTAGTTTTTTTATGTGCTTTTGTCATTTTTATTTTATTAATTCTAATTTGAAAAATATAGCTAATAATTTAATAATAATTACAAGTAATAAAAGTAAAATAAAAAAAATGTATTAAGCTTTTATTTCATTTTAATTTAAATTTTAGTTTTTCAGTATAAGCAAATTTCAATTATTTGCCAAGGCAACATTCTATTATTATTATTATTATTATTATTAATTTCGTTTGTTTGTTTGTTTGTTTTTCATGGTAATTTTAGTTTATTTTTTTAATGTGCTTTTTGTCATTTTTATTTTATTAATTATAATTTAAAAAATTATAGCTAATAATTTAATAATAATTACAAGTAAAAGTAAAATACAAGTAAAATAAAATCAAAGAATTAATTTATTTAGCTTTTATTTTAATTTCAGTTTTAATTTAAACTTATTTCAGTTAGTTGCCAATGCAACATTTCTTATTTTTCATTTAAGTTTTACATTTTTCATCTAATATTTATGTATATATAATATTGATAGGTTTTAAGTTTTTCTGTTTTTCATCTAATTCTATTTCTATTACTGAAAACGATTTGTAATCGTTTTAGTGAACAGTGACAACACTGATAATCCAGATAGAATCTCTGAAAACATCTCAATATTTTTTTCACCTATACATACAGTGGGGGAAATATTTATTTGATCCCCTGCTGATTTTATAAGTTTGCCCACTTACAAAGAAATGAAGGGTCTGTAATTTTTATGGTAGGTTTATTTTAACGTATAGAGACAGAATACCAACCAAAAAAAAAACCACAGTCACCAAGCAAAACATTGGTAACACTACTAATGAACTGAAATCCTGCTCAACAAGGCACATGCACAGCCCGTTTAAAGTTTGCCAAAGAACATCTAAATGATTAAGAGAAGGCTTGGGAGAAAGTGCTGTGGTCAGATGAGACGCTCGCCGTGTTTGGAGAGAGAGAAATGCTGACTATGACCCCGAGAACACCATCCCTACAGTCAAGCACGGAGCTGGAAACATTACGCTTTGGGGCTGTTTTTCTGCTAAGGGTACAGGAGGTGGCTCAAGAAAAAGCACATTAAGCTCATGGAGGGGCCGAGCCGGTCTCCAGACCTCAATCCTGTAGAAAATCTGTGGAGGGAGCTGAAGCTTTGAGTTGCCAACAAATGCAAATCAATTTCTAACCTTTATATGTGTTTTTCCTGGATTGTTTTGGTTGGTATTCTGTCTCTATACGTTAAAATAAAACTACCATAAAAATTACAGACCCTTCATTTCTTTGTAAGTGGGCAAACCTTCTGTACATTTTCTGGAGAACTAGACAGTGATCCTGATTCAGAGAGTCTGTGTTGTGTTCTGTATTTAATGTTTTGGTTTAAATTAACTGAATGAATGATGCTCTCTAACAGTCGGTGTTTAGTGTGTGTTTAGTGTGTTTTTTTTTTCTGTGTGTGTGTTTAGTGTGTTTTTTCTGTGCGTGTGTGTGTACAGTGTGTTTTTCTGTGTGTGTGGGTCGTCTGTTTGAATCCCATCCGATGGTTGAGGCTGTGGATCTGCTTCAGTCTGCTGTGGGTTAATGAAGGTTTAAGTGTCACTTACAGCCTGCAGGAAACACTAGAAAACGTTTGATCAGCATCTAATCAAAGCATCAATTAATCAAGATTACAGCTTTAATTGAGGTTTAATTGTGAAGCACAGAATGTGTGTAATCGTGTTACCATCCGTCAGGAGCTTAATATCCTCATATCCTCTGCATTATTCTGCAGCTCTGTTTAACTCTGTCTGTGTGTGTGTGTGTGTGTGTGTGTGTGTGTGTGTGTGTGAGAGAGAGTGTGCGCACCTGGTCTTTATCGCGAGACATAAATTTATATAATGACAAGGGTATGACATAGGTATTACAAGGAGAAGGTGACTTTTCAGGACATTA